CAAACAATCTTGGGTTAAACAAGATCAGTAACCAAACTCTTAACCAGATTGCTTCTTTGAATCCTTCCGTGTTTGGCAATATATTCTGGCCTCTGTAGTTTGACAGTGCCACAATTTTGGGACTTTTTTGGAAGGGGCTAGCTTTCCAAGCTAAATGGCAGAAATTGCAATAAAGTAAATACATAACTGACAAAGACGCTTCTCTTATCAGATCACCTGCATAATCAGAGTCAACATATCCAGCAATAATATTCGGTGTCACCTATTCCTATCAAAAACCAATCCACGTTGTCCACAGAACCTTTCAAGTCAGCGAAATACCATTTAAAAACTGCTTGCCAATGTTTTTTAGCCTGGATTACTCATATACCGCTCACAACACTAACTGCCTGTCAAGATCAGGTCTAGTGCATACGCATAGCATACATGAAGACTACCAACTGCACTAGAATAGGGCACATGTGACAGATTGCTCTTTCTCTTTCATTAGACTGAGGGCAGACAAATCAGATGATAATTTAAAATGAGCTGCAAAGAGGAGTACTCACAGGTTTTTTGAGTTATTTCATGTTGAATCTCTCAAGAACCGTTCTAAATGTAATTTTTCTTTGAGATAAAATACAAATTTTTCCAGCTGATCGTCTCTATGAATCTCCATACCAAGATTTTCTTTTGCAGGCACGAAGATCTTTCATCTCAAATTCACTGGCTCAAACTGATCTTTCAAATTCTTTGATAGTGACTTATCACGAGCAGCAAATTAGCCTGTCATCAACATATAATAAGTAGACAAAGATCGCATCATGAAAACTTTTTGTGAATAAACACAATTATCATACTGACTACGACAATACCATGCTCAACCATGAAAGGGAATCAAACTTTGTACCATTTGTCTTGGGGATGTTTTAGTCCAATAAAGAGACATTCTTCAAAGTGACAAACATAGTCTTCTTTTCCAGGAACAACAAAATCCTTCTGGGTTGGTTGCAATATAAAATCTGCTCTCGAGCTCTCCATGTAAGAAAGCAGTCTTGACATCAAAGTTGTTCTAATTCCAAGATCCTGCAAGCAACAAGGGCAAGAAGTTACACGTATAGAAGTATGACGAACAACAGGAGAAAACCCTTCATGAAAGTCTACACCATGTTTTTGAGTGTAAAGCCTTTTAGGCAACTAAACGTGCTTTATATCTTGCCAATTCTTCAACTCCGGGATTGCCTTCTTTCTTCTTTATAGACCCATTTTACAGCCTACAACTCTTTTGGCCTTTTGGCAATTTCAACCAAACTGCCCCAAGTATCATTCTTTGTGCAGAGAATTCAATTTCTTCTTCTTGCATCGCAAACTTGCCCCTCAGAAGAATTTGACATGAGATTGCTTCAGAGTATGTGTGAGGTTCTCCACCTTCAACTGTAATCCTCTGCAGCTGCAAGAAGCATAAGCAACCAAATTCCCATTCATTATATTTTCAGGCGTTTGTGAATTCTCTCCTGGGTCTATCTCTGGCAATAGAATAGTCATTCACGACGATCTGGTTCAATGGGAAATCAGGAACCTCTGATGTGATCGGAGATGAGGAAATATCTCCTTACTAAGGAGTTGGTTATTTCAAACTCAAAGCTTCACCTTCTCGTCAGTATTTCTTTGAAATCACCTGTGTCAGACGGAGAAGAACTTGACAGTTTCTTTTTCAGGGAGAATTAGCACATCTTTCATTGAAAAGTAACGTCTCATACTAATAATT